AGTGATCCACCCACCTCAGCCTCTCAAACTGCTGGGATTACAGGTGTGAGCCACCACGCCTGGACCTGGCCTTCATTTTTATTTAAACAAAATGGTACCCATTCTTCCAAGCCAGGCTCAAGTTCCATCCCCAGCCAGCTGTGTCTCCGCTCACTGCTCTCTTCTTGTCAGACAGCATCTTTTTATTTTTTATTTTTAAATTTTCTTCTTTTCTTTTACCACGCCTCTGAGACAAGTTCAACAGACAGCCTTAGCGTCTTGTCTTCTGGTTGTCCGGTGTGTAGTCCCCACAAGTCTGGGCGCCAGGACATATTTTACCCATTGAAATAGCTGACTGATTTCTGGCCGAGACAGTCCATATTTTTAAATGTTATCATTGTTAGAAATTAACTTCCAGAGCCAAGTAACTGGCATGCTGCAGGTGATAGCAGATAACAGGGAGGGAACAATGACCCCATGGAATGAACACTGTTTGGTTCAAGGAGGAAATCCATAGAGATATTAAGATATAAATTATATTAATAATTAATATATTAATATTATATTAAGATATAAATTATATTAATAATTAATATATTAATATTATATTAAGATATAATTCAGGTACCATAAAATTCACCTTTTTTTTTTTTTTTTTTTTTTTTTTTTTTTTTAGATGGAGTCTTGCTCTGTCACCAGGCTAGAGTGCAGTGGTGTAATCTCAGCTCACTGCGACCTCCGTCTCCAGGTTTCAAGTGATTCTCCTGCCTAGGCCTCCCAAGTAGCTGGGATTACAGGTGTGCGCCACCATGCCCAGCTAATCTTTTTGTATTTTAGTAGAGACAGGGTTTCACCACGTTGGCCAGGATGGACTCCATCTCCTGGCCTCGTGATACGCCTGCCATAGCCTCCCAAACTGCTGGGATTATAGGCGTGAGCCAGCGCACCTGGCCAATTCACCTTTTTAAAGTATACAATTAAGTGGTTTTTAATTCATTCAGAGTTGTCAACCACCACTCCAAAAAGTAATTCTCTTTCAATTCCTGGACATTTACACATTAGCAGTTACTTGTTATTCCCCTCCTCCCCCAGCTCCTGGAAACCACTGTTTCTGCTGTATTATTGACTTTCATTTATGTCTGAAATTCTCTGTAATAAAAAGGAAGGATGGATAAACTTGCCCAAGGTCACATAGTAAAGTAACAGACCCAGAATCTGAATTCAAGTCTCTTAGGAAAGACTACACAGTAACTCAAGTTCAGATGGTTTCCATCAACTTGGCAAACTCCTGGCAGTGATTCTTCCCCATACTGAAGAGCCTGCCCTTAAGCTCATAATACAGATCAGAATGCTATAATTTGCATGTTGTTTTTTCTAGGGAAAACAACCCAAACTAGAAAATAAAAGACACAAAAGTCATAGGCTTTGGCCCTGAAAGTATATCAACTAGCTCCCACATAGATACCCAGTTTGATATTTTGTGAATAAGGAACTTGACCTCTCGGTCTGTTATTTGAGGCCTCTATGGTTTTTCTGAATGAAAGGTGTGAGAAACCGCCTTAGACATTTTGTTGCAATCTATTAGTATTTCAAGGCAAATGAGTCTTTAATGTGGACAAACATTGCAAGAACTATTATTCTAGGAAATTGGGTGCTTGCATAATATCCGGTTGTCTGAAGGCTGAAACAGCTGGAGTTCAAGGGAACCACGTCAGGAGGACTCTAGGGAGGTAATCTTAATGCTCTTGGCAAATGTGCTACCAAGAACAGTATTTTGGACTACATTTTCTTTTCTGAGACAACTGAGTCTGACCAATTCACTTCTATAGTGCCCTATACATGCATAGGGAGGAAAATTGCTTTTGCATGTTTTTCTGTATGCTTTTTTGTTGTTTTCATGTGACTATCAAGCTCCCTGACTGCTAGCAGTGAAACAATGGGCACTCGATATTTGAATTATAAAGGACCGCTGAACACCAGACTTACAACGTTCAAAACATTAAAGGGTTGGCAGGAAGTTTCAGGCTGTAATCTCATGAAGATTATTCATAAAAATAGCTGTTTTGGTCAAAGCAGAATTTCGTGAGTTGGCCGGACAAGATAGCTCAGGCTTGTAATCCCAGAACGTTGGGAGGCCAGGAGTTCAAGACCAGCCAGGCCAACATGGCAAAGCCCCGTCTCTATAAAAAGTACAAAATTAGCAGAACTTGGTGGTACATGCATATAATCCCAGCTACTTGGGAGGCTGAGGCACGAGAATCGTTTGAATGCGGGAGGTGGAGGTTGCAGTGAGCGGAGATCGTACCACTGCACTCCAGCCTGGGTGACAGAGTGAGACTGTCTTAAAGAAAAAAAAAAAAAGAATTTCATGAATTGCCAACAAATTCACCAAATATTCTGGTGCAGGGAAAATACTGGGAGGGCTGGGGAATCTGCAGCCACTCTAGTTATTAGTGATTATTTAGTTTTATCACCCAAGTTTTGACCCCCAGGTTGAGAGGGAAAAGGAATTAGGGCAAGAGCTGAAAACAAGGATGCAAACGAAATGCTCTGGGGACAGAGTGGGGACAGGAAGCTGGATGGAAAGGCTGAATGCTGGTGGGACAGCAAGAAAAAGCCAGACAGAAAATGATGCCCCAGGCAAGCGGTCATCACTGGGGAGCAGACAGAGTGGCGAGGAGTTGCTTGGCCAAAAGACACCTGTGAAAGAGGCTTCACGGAGTCAAATATCCAGTCAGGGAGCAGCAAAGCCAAGGGTAAGAGTTCAGGTCAAAGCAATTCATGATGAAAGCTAGAGAAACATTCCAGTATGATGGTTTTCCACAAGTTTTATTCTTTAATTCAAACCGGCCCAGTCCCTTGTGCAAGTTTTTATTTTTATTTTTTTGAGACGGAGTCTTGCTCTGTTGCTCAGGTGGGAGTGCAGTGGCGCGATCTTGGCTCACTGCAACCTCTGCCTCCTGGGTTCAAGCGATGCTCCTGCCTCAGCCTCCTGAGTAGCTGGGATTACAGGCATGCACCACCACGCCCGGCTAATTTTTTTTGTATTTTTAGTAGAGTTAGGGTTTCTCCATGTTGGTCAGGCTGGTCTTGAACTCCTGGCCTCAAGTGATCCACCAGTCTCAGCCTCCCAAAGTGCTGAGATTACAGGTTTGAGCCATGGTGCCTGGCCTTGTGCAAGCTTTTAAATCCTTGGTCCCATTTTATTTTGATACAGAGGCTCACTTTGTTGCCCAGGCTGGAGTGCAGTGGCTTGATCCTGGCTTACTGCAACCTCCATCTCCCTGGCTCAAGCGATTCTCATGCCTCAGCTTCCTGAGTAGCTGGGACTCCAGGTGTGCACCACTACACCCGGCTAGTATTTTTGTATTTTTGGTAGAGATGAGGTTTTGCCTTATTGCCCAGGCTGGTCTCGAACTCCTGACCTCAAGCCATCCCACCGCCTTGGCCTCCCAAAGTGTGGAATTCCAGGCGTGAGTCACCACGCCCGGCCCCTTGGTCCCATTTTAGTTACTGTTTTAGTTCTCTGAATATAATCTGTGTCTGGTACTTCCACTAGGTCCCTGCAAGTCTGATTCTGCTTTTTTGCTGATTCTGATCAGGGTGGCTTGTTTCCTCACGTACCTGTGAGTTCGTGATCCTCAGAGGTTTAGCTGGGATAATTATTTGAGGACTGGGGTGAAGATGTGTTCTTGCACAGAGAATGTGCGCTGGCCTCTGCCAGATACCTGTGGCCAGCATCGGTTGGAGATTGCTTTTAGATCCCCATTTGTATGTTCTCTGAGCAGTACAGGTATATGAATTGTTCCAAACCTGCATGAGGAACAGTGTGTGGACCGAATTCTCAGGAGACCCTCCCTTGTGCCAACACCAGACACCCTCTCTCTGAAAACCCCTGAGCCAGCGCCAAGCAGGCAGATTTCTCGTCTCTTTCTCTGAGGCAGGTTTTTGTCAAGTTCATCCTTTTACCGAAGGGGGCACCTTTGGGGTTCCAGGCTTTCTGGGTCTTGACCAAAGTTCCTACTCCATGAAGATTCAGAGCTTTGACTTCTGCTCAGACATCAGTAGGTTATAGGAAATGACCTACTCAAGTGCTCCAGCACTGCTTTGTTCTGCCTCTCAGGAATTCCTTCTTTCTTGCTAGCTCAGCTAACTATTAGAGATTAAAAAAATGTTCTATCCAGGTTTGACTTGCAAGGGCTCTCGAAATATCTGGTTTGCCACCTTTTCAGAAACAGATGCCTCCTGCTTAGGAACAACGGTTTCCTCCCTCCCTGAAGTCTGTTTGTATCATCAGGTGTGAAAACAAAGGGCTTTACTGGTTGAAGCGCATGTTGGAGATTATTTTCATGAAGCCCTTTAGTCACAGAAAAGGAAGCTGTATTCCGGAAAAATGACTTTCCCTACTACTTACCAAGTCTGCAACAGAGCTGAGACTGGACTCTCTCACACTGCTCTTCCTAAAGGAAACCAAAATGTAAGCAAAGATAGCATTCTCTGAATAAGCCAAAAAACTGAATTATACTCAAGTTCTTTAAATTCATAGACAGCAGCTGGGCACGGTGGCTCACGCCTGTAATCCCAGCACTTTGGGAGGCCAAGGTGGGCGGATCACAAGGTCAGGAGTTCAAGACCAGCCCGGCCGACATGGCGAAACCCTGTCTCTACTAAAGATACAAAAAATTAGCCAGGTGTGGTGGCATGCGCCTGTAATCCCAGCTACTCAGGAGGCTAAGGCAGGAGAATCGCTTAAACTTGGGAGGTGGAGGTTGCAGTGAACCGAGATCACGCCATGCACTCCAGCCTGGGCGGCAGGGTGAGAATCTGTTTCAAAAAAGAAAAATTTATAGAGAGCAGAGGAGCAAAGATACAGAGCTAAAGGTGATCCAGCTATAAAAACCTGACTTCTGGAACAAAGCACTAAAGAAAGTGTGAACAGTACCAAAGTCATAATTGCTGTTTGAGAACAGATGTTCAAATGTGGGAAATATTCAAAGTAAGTTCCAAAAAAATAAACTAGCTTATCATTCTATAAAAAGTTTATTTCAGAAATCACATACCTTTAAAAAAAATAACACAGAGGGTATAAGTTCGTATCCTGACCAGGTATTATTCATTATTTGAACGGCAGAGTGTTGTGTGGTACAATTAACGAGATGCAGATGCTAAGTCCATACAACATTCCTGGCATTTACACCAGGCTCACGAGATAGTGACCTTTGAAAAGTGAAGAAAACCCAAAAACAAACAAAACACAAAAAACAAACCCACAGAAAACACCTAAAAAACAAAAACCAACCCCACAGAAAAACACCCAAAAAACAAAACCAACCAACCAACAAGACACAAAAAACAAACCCACAGAAAACACCTAAAAAACAAAAACCAACCAACCAAACAAGACACAAAAAACAAACCCACAGAAAACACCCAAAAACCAAAAAAACAGCTAATTCTGAAACACATAAAACTATCTTGATCTTTTAAATACAGATCCTGAAATTACAGATCCATTGCTGAGACTATTCCAAAACCTGTAAAACATGGGCATTATTTTAATTTATGAACAACTGAAAAGATTCAATGGCGTGCTGTGTGGTCATTTCAGTATGTGAGTCAAAGCAGAAGAATAGGGAAACGTTAAATCTCTGCTTTACAGTTTAATAGGTCGAAAGCAAAAGGAAAGTCTGAAAAAAGAACTGGGGAGGTTTGGTTGGTAATGCTTTTGGTAGAACTGGTTATCCTTGTTCCTATTTAGTAGGTGTCTTTTAGTCTTACTAGAGTAGCACCCACAGATGGCCAAGTTCCAAATATCAGAATCAGGATGCAAAATACAACTGGAAATTTACACTCACTATGTACCAAAAAATATGGCTCTTTGGAAATCTGAGCTAAAACCCTGTGATGTAACGTGTTAAGATGCTTAAGACAATTTTACAGAACAAGGAGTTAAAATGATCCTCAAGGATGACTAAAGCAGAATTTTTACACAAACAACTTCAATAACTTCCTATAATGGGGCCAGGCATGGTGGCTCACGCCTGTAATCCTAGCACTTTGGGAGGCTGAGGTGGGCGGATCACCTGAGGTTGGGAGTTCGAGACCAGCCTGACCGACATGGAGAAACCGTCTCTACTAAAAAAAATACAAAATTAGCCAGGCATGGTGGCACATGCCTGTAATCCTAGCTACTCAGGAGACTGAGGCAGGAGAATCGCTTGAACCCAGGTGGCGGCGGTTGCGGTGAGCCGAGATCGTGCCACTGCATGACAGCCTGGGCAACAAGAGCAAAACTCTGTCTCAGAAACAAAACAAAACAAAACAAAACAAAACAAAACAAAACAAAACAAAACAAAACTTCCTATAATACAAAGCAATTGCTTTTACTTCAATCTATTTACTATTTTTATCAAATGATCCCAGATTATATTTCTGGGTACTCCTATGCAGATCATAAGGTATTTGTTTTTTGGGATAAATATAAAGCAAAGTTTATGTTTGTACGAGAGGAGTTCAGAGTTCTCTGACTCTGCTAGTGCTGAATCCAGAGAAGTACTGTCATATTCTAAAAAGTTTCAAGAAGGCCAAGAAGGCCAGATGCGGTGGCTCACACCTATAATCCCAGCACTTTCGGAGGCTGAGGTGGGTGGATCACGAGGTCAGGAGATCGAGACCATCCTGGCTAACATGGTAAAACCCCGGCTCTACTAAAAATAAAAATAAAAAAATTAGCTGGGCGTGGTGGTGGGCACCAGTAGTCCCAGCTACTCGGGAGGCTGAGGCAGGAGAATGGTGTGAAACCGGGAGGCGGAGCTTGCAGTGAGCTCAGATCACGACATGGCACTCCAACCTAGGCGACAGAGCAAAACTCCGTCTCAATTAAAAAAAAAAAAAAAAATTCAAGAAAAAGAAAATTTGTATCAATTCGTTAACTGCATAAATCTTCTGAGAATGCAGTTACTATGTGCCCCCATGATGAGAAGTTAGTTCATGCTGAAGAGAAATGAAGATTTGAAACCACCTAAGAATGAAGTCAATCGATACTAATCATTCATGAAGATAGGCAACACCTGAGAGCAATAGGAAGCTGACCTAATTTGATTAGATCAGATATATTTTCAATTGTTTCTCATCAAATCATAATCTTAACAGAAATACAGTTACTAAAGACAAGTATTGCAGATATTTCAGGATAATGTGGCGAGTATGTTGAAAGATATTGTTCCTATAAATTGTCAGGAAAAACTGGCCATTAATTTTATTAAAGTGAAAAATATGTAACACTAAAGTTGCAGATCTGAGCTTTATTATCAGAATAACATCATTTCAGGATAGAATTGAGGGATTCTTGAAAATGCTTTTGATATGGCATAAAACTCTGGAGTCTCAGAGCTGCATGCCTACTTATCTGTTCAAATATATCTGGAATGGAAATACACAGAGGGTTTAGCAGAACAAGCAAGAAAGTTGACAAAAGAACCAAATGAAAATTCCTCATGACAAAAGCACTTTAATACCCTACCCTTCTTCAATCAAGAGATCAAAAGAAACGGCAAGTCCTGTATTTACAAAACTGATGAAAATCACACTGCAATAATCAGTGAATGTAGAACTGCACAGATCTGTGTTTCCAGCTTTTTCCACCATGATTGTACATCAAGGTAAAAAAAGATTCTTTTATACAAATCCAAGAAGGATGTGGACAGAGGTGGCAGCAAAACTGCCAAGGATGGTGCACTGACTTACGACTGCAGCTGACACAGGACGTGGGGGGAGGGCAGAGTCCTCGAGAAAGAACCCTACGGAGAGGGCGGCTCAATCGGTGGTCGATCTCCGGTACCAAAACCGCGCTCTGAAGTCATCGCTGCACGTCATGAAGCCGGGGTTGGTGGGGGAGTGCACTATGCAGCGTACAATGTTGTTGTGCCCCAGTGAGAGCAGGTTTCTCCGCTCAGCTGTTCTCGAGTCCCAGCAGCAAAGACTGATCGTCCTCTCGTCGGGCAGCAACACATAGTCCTCAGTGTGGTTAAACACAGCCTGCGTTCGGTGCACCTGGCGTCCACTTAAACCCGCGCCTGCCACAGAGACCAAGAGGGATAGCTTTCTAAGTCCACATCTTAGACTGTCAGAACGTTCTAGCATTCAATGTAAAAGCATTGTAAACCTGTTGAAGTGATACACCCTGTACACTTTCAGAAACTCGAAAAAAGTACAAAAAAGAAAATCAAACCAGGCACAGTGGCTCACGTCTATAATCCCAGTACTTTGGGAGGCTGTGGAAGGAGGCTGCTTAAGCCCAGGAGTTTAAGACCAGCCTGGGCAACAGACAACAGAGCAAGAGCAAGACTGTATCAGGAAGAAAAAAAAAAGAGGGAGAGAGAGAGACCATCAGATCACCTGAAGCAATACTGTTACTGTCCTAATGTACTTCGAGGCTTAAAAATACATAAAAAATTGATGCCACTATATTTTTCTATTATAGTTTTAAACCAACTTTATGTTTAGTACATTTTTCCATGTTTTTTTAAACTAGATGCAAAGTGCCTCATGTTTAGAAGCCCCATTACTTATTTAACAATTCTTCTGTGTGTGTGTGTGTGTTTTTTTTTTAGGCAGAGTCGCTCTGTCGCCAGGCTGGAGTGCAGTGGTGTGATCTTGGCTCACTGCAACCTCCGCCTCCTGGGTTCAAGCGATTCTCCCGCCTCAGCCTCCCAAGTAGCTGGGACTACAGGTGCGTGCCACCACACCAAGCCAATTTTTGTATTTTTAGTAGAGACAGGGTTTCACCAAGTTGGCCAGGATGGTCTTGATCTCTTGACCTCGTGATCCACATGCCTCAGCCTCCCAAAGTGCTGGGATTACAGGTGTGAGCCACTGCACCTGGCCTATTTAACAATTCTTTTACTTCCTTTTAGTTTATATCAATTATAAGTAATGTTGTAATGAATATCCTTTGTACAGAAAGCTTTATTTCCTTAGGAGTAAATTCCTAGAAACAGAATTACTGAGACAAAATATATGAATATCTGCTTTCCAAAAGGAAGCCTTTTTATGACTATAAATTACATATTTTAATGTTTAAACTACCAAATGAAGTATAAAAAGGAAAATAAAAACTGCTTAATAATTGCACCCATCCGAGGAAACAGTCAATACTTTGGTGAATACCCTTTCGAAATATCTAAGTGTTATGTGCTCACTTGTAAATTTTCTCTCTCTCTTTTTTTTTTTTTGAGATAGAGTCTCACTCTGTTGCCCAGGCTGGAGTACAATGGTGTGATCTCGGCTCACTGCAACCTCTGCCTCCCGAGTTCAAGAGATCTCCTGCCTCAGCCTTCTGAGTACCTGGGATTATAGGCATGCGCCACCACACAAAACTAATGTTTGTATTTTTAGTAGACACGGGGTTTCGCCATGTTGGCCAGGCTGGTCTAACTCCTGACCTCAGATGATCTGCCTATCTCGGGCTCCCAAAGTGCTGGGATTACAGGTGTGAGCCACGACCCCCAGTTTCATTTGTGACTGAAGTCAGAGTATTTGTCATATACTATGAATATTCAAGCATATGTAGTGCAGATCTGTAAAGACAGAAGACAGCTTGGTGGATAAAAACACAAACTCTGTGGTCAGATGTGGGTTGAACACTTACTAGTGATGTGACCCTGGGCAAATTACTTAACATCCCTCAGCCTTAATTTTCTCATCTGTTCCACGGGGTAGTTACAGAACCTACCCCATAAGGCTGAGGATAAGAATAAGAGAATGCATGGGAGGCTCTGGACTGTGAGTGCTCAGGCAATGTTAGCATGCATACTTATTTTTAAAGGTGTACGTTGTCCACGGATGCGTAACAGATTTCCTTAATGCTTCTTATTGGACATCTATGCTGTTTCTAACTTTCAGCCACTCCAAATGATGTCGGGACACACAGTCTTTTATGGGCATGTGCCTGTTTGTCCAATTACCTCTTTAGGTTGAATTTCTAAGAGTAGATATAGTGGGTCAAAAAGCATGTATTTAAAATTCTGATATGATAGCAAACTGTGCTGAAATATTTTACCAGCTGACTCTCTGACCAACCAAACATGATATCCTCAAATCTCTATCAATAGTAGATTAATATAAATCTTTAAGACTCCTAAAATCTGATGAACAAAACCAGGTCCCCATATTCATCTACTGGGTCTGCAGCGAGGCTGGCCACCTTTTCTTATATTTCCTGACCATTTTTCTCTTCTGCAGTCCCCTGTCCTTTGGCTCCTTTTCTCTCAAGTTTGGACTCATCCTTTTCCTATTTGAGTTCTCTTTACAGATTAAGATATTAACTCATTGTCTAACATCTGTATATATGCTATAACTACTTTCCCCCAGTCCTGTATTTTAATTATTTATATTGTTTTTAATTTTTTGCAACCCAATTTCTAAAGTTTTCTTGATAGTTTTTCCCTTTTCATCATTCAGAAACCCTTTGAATTCTAACTAATTATTATTATTATTATTTTTGAGATGGAGTCTTGCTCTGTTGCCCAGGCAGGAGTGCAGGGGTGCGATCTTGGCTCACTGCAACCTCCACCTCCCAGGTTCAAGCTATTCTCCTGCCTCAGCCTCCCGAGTAGCTGGGACTACAGGCGCCCGCCACCACGCCCAGCTAATCTTTGTATTTTTCGTAGACACGGGGTTTCACCATATTGGCCAGGCTGGTCTCGAACTCCTGACCTTGTGATCCGCCTGCCTCGGCCTCCCAAAGTGCTGGGATTACAGGCATGAGCCACCGTGCCCAGCCCAAATTCTAACTAATTATTAAAACTAGGAACAGAAATCTTAACATGCTGACATGACATGGGCTTGATCTGTGAAATGAGAAAAAAGGAAAAGGGGAATTTGCGCATAAATTCAGCATAATCACATTTTTGAAAAACCACGTTGCTATTCCCCACTAAAACAAGCCAATCAACCTCATACTACTATAAAACATCCAAAACATTCCTAGAGTAAATATTTAAGCTCTTCTCAGTAGGCTGGTGTGTATCTGTCCAGATATAGCACACTCCTTAAAATAGTTACAACTTCTATAGGGGGAGTACTTTCACATTTACTCTGATCACTTTTGTATTTTCTTTTTGCAACAAACACAACTATTATAAAGCAGTTCTTTATAATAAATACTTTTCAGAACAATTTTATGCAAGTGTTTCAATGAAGTCACCAAGAATTATGATAAAAATGGCTCTTCCTAAGATTTGCTAGTTGTATCAGAAGTCAGAGAGAGATGGCTGGGGAAGCGAACTTTGGTTACAATGAGACAAATCTAAGGCAGGTTATGCTGCCCCCTAGTGGGTCTGATGTCACCGACTCTTCAATGCAAACAACACAGTCCAGTCTCTTCCAATACCGTTTTCTTATGATTTTTTTTGTTATGCTCATGCCAATTTTAGTGTATGACACAAACATATCTCACAATTGAGAAAACAATCAGAAATTTTCTGGAGGTTTTCTACCAGTCTTTGCTGCTACAAGGAACAGAAGACACAGTGTTTTAACATTCACTATCAAATAACCAGACTTGGGCCCTACTAGTGATAGGATCAATTTAAATAGATTTCATTATAAAAATACTCCACAGGCACTACTGTGAGTAGTTACCAATGAGACCAACATACATTAATGAGAATTCAATGGATGCAATTTTTTTCTGTCTGCTTAGCCTACTT